ACTCTTTCCACTGAAGAGTATTACTAGCAGTAAATATATACTATATTATGTTAATATCAAACATTTTTCTAAATACTCTATTTACCACATAATCAGTAGAAATGCTTTTTAACCAAGATTATGCTTGTGAAAGTAGGAAATCTTAATTTTTTTTCTGTTTTGTTTCTTTTTTATTATTCAGAAAATAAATGCTAAGCTTCATGATGGAGTGTGTCAGCATTGCAAAGGTATCTTGGAGTGGCGGGTAAAGTTTAGCAAGTACAAACTACTATCAAAACCTAAGAAATGGTGAGTTAAGATGCTTCTTGCTAATTACTCATAATGTAGCTTGTGAACTTTTTTTGCAAAATATTCTAGTTTTGGAAGCTCAGAGCCAGAAGCTGTTACTATATGACAATCCTCAAATTTGGAGTATGCAATGACTATATATATATATGCAATGTTCATTTTCTAATGGATTAGTCCTTTTATCTTAAACTTTTGAAAAGAAAAAAGAGTGGAAAAGCAATTGTTTCCTTCTTTGCTGTGTAAATGCTTTACACGTGGACCTGTAATCTACCAAAACCCTCTGTGTGCCTTCCTGAAGAAAAAGTCAAACGTGTACCAGTTATAACAGGATTTTCCAAGGCCTCAATGCAAGTCCATAGCAGAGGAATGAGCACATCTCTTAATTTTTGTAGTTGAGAAAGAAGAATACCTAATTGCAAGAAAGACTTTAATTTTGTCATGTCAGAACTCATAGCAACGCTGTTCTCAGCCTTACTGAGGCCTCAGTTCCTACAAAATGTTTACAATCTTCCATTTAGTTAAGTCTTAACACCTTCTCTCTTTTTGCATGTGAAACTGAAATACTAAATATCAAATGTTTAGCATTGTTTACGTACAGTCCTGTATTAGGTGCTTTTGGATAAGTACATAACAAAGGTGATAAATATATATTTATAAAAAAATTAAAATAGGTGTTTTATGTGATAATGTTCTGAAGTGGACACACTCTTCTTCCTTCTTACTTGCTCAGCTGCAGAGATGCTTGCCTCTGTGGCTGCGAACTCCAACAGTGAAACGCTGAACTCAAAAGAAACTGCTTCTGGTCTGTGGTGTATGATAAAGCCAGCCTTGTCACAGTAGCTTGCTCTGCTTTTTTGTGTTGTTCTCAGTTATGTACTTAGGAACTTTCGCTCAGAGGGCTTCTTTCAATGTCTATGTGCAGTTCCGTGAATGATGGTGTGGTTTATTTTGATTTTCAATAGGTTAAAAGGGAAGGAATGCTTCTTTATAGTATTATCACCAACATGTGAGAGGTTTTTCTCTTTAATAGGAAACCATATGCAACATTTGATTTTAGTAAGCAATTTAATCCCTTAATGTAAAAAAAAAAAAATTATGTAGAAATCTCACTGATTCTCAAACATTCTGGGTTCTGTGAACCACGGATAAAGTTGGGATTGGTCTTTTTAACACTTTCTCATAAGACTGTGCTTGTCCCATTTAAAAGTGATAAGCTGTAACAAATTGTCTAGTGGTGATTTTAGTTCTTTTGCTCTTCTCTTCCTACCCTCAATGGGAAAAAAATAGGCAAAACAAGCACAAAAATCAGAGAAGCATTTCAAATAGAAAAAGTGGCATTGTGGGACAGCTGCTTATGACAGATGTGATGTTTTCCATTGTCTTTTTGGACAAGTAAATTGGGTGACAGGCTGCTCTAGCTCAGTGGTGATGGTTTCTAATCCAGTCTAGATAGTACAATGGTTGAGTAGGCCACTGTTCTGAAAGGACAAGACTATGAAGATTTTCAATGGGTGAAGCTTCTAGGTGAAATAAACACATTATAATGACTGTATGGAAAATAATGATTTCTTCATGTCACAAATGATGGGAATGGAGGACTTCTCTGTGCCTCACTTTATTTTCAGTTTTTTAACATCTTCAAAATTATGATTGTTAGTACAAGCAGAAGTTACCCCAACTTTATTTTTATTTCAGGTATTATTATAGATTAAACTAATTTTTAAAAAGAAGTTTATCCACCTTGCATTGATAGTGCCCTCATTTGGTGTGACATGGCTGGGAAGAGCTGTAGAAATTTTTTTAATACTGATGCAACTGAACAGAAACAAAGAGGAAAAAAACTCTAAAACCAAACTAAGAAGGTATTTCCTGTAGGTTTTTTTTCTGGGGGAGAGGGAAGACCATAAATACTAGGCAGTTCAGACTTTGCTTTTGTCAAATGTGTCCTGCAGCAATTTTTGTGGTTGCTTCCTCAAGGAATTGGATATGCGCACCTTAATAGTGACAGCTTCATGATGGCAGTAGGGAGAAGCCAATCATGCTTAAGAATGAATGGGATTTGAGAAACTGAGTAAAAAATTATTTGTATATGCTAGGTAGTGCCTCTCTTCTTATAAGGCATTTAAAAACACTTCACATTTTTCTTTAGCCTATTTTAGCCAAGTCTGCAAATCCACTGTTCAGAATGGTGTGCTACATCTTTCTTGACAGAACTCTGAGTGCCTGAGGAGCCAAGAAGTGACTTTTAAGACAGCAGCATTATGTGGGATGTGTAGTTCTGGATTTTGTTCTCAAAAAATATAAGGGTTTAGAAATGTCAGCTGAATGTTAAGCCATAGCATTTTAGAAATTATTTCATCTATGGAGGTTTCTATGATATTTTGAAAAAGAATAGCCCTAAACCTTTACCTAGTTAGATTGGGATTGTTCAGAATACACTTCTGTACAGGTGTGTGTTCATAGAAAGCAAAGTCCAGCATTGGCTTTTACTCGTTTTACTCTGAGAAATTCAAGAGGAAGACATTGTAGTGTTTGAATTGCAAGCTTTTGTAATAATTACCCTTTTGTAATAATTTCTCGTTTTCTTTTACCATTAAAGCAGAAGTTATGAAGCTATTAAAGTAAAACTACCTACTGAAATGAAAGGAAAAGTTTATTTTGTTACTTTAAATATAAAAATTCTTGACTTCATGTTTCTTCATCCATTCTTGTTCTAATAATTTTTCCTGAAAGTTAAAGGAGAAGGAAGACAGGCAATGATTTTTATAGTGCCGCTTGTTAAAACACCAATAGTTTAATGTGAAACTGGCCTATAACGTGTTCCTTCCAGATAATATATGTCTGTATTATCTTTGAACACAGAATGTTTAACAAGTCACCACACTTTTTTTTTTTTAAATCATGTTTTCTTTCTCTTCACAGTGTGAAGTGCCTCCAGAAGACTGTAAAAGATCCTTACCATATTATTTGTCGTCCATGTGCTGGTAAACTAGGAGTTTGTGCTAAGTGTGGAAAAGAAGAAGAAATAGTAATTCCGTAAGTAGCTTCTGCGTTACAAAGTTTCAGTACTGCTCTTTTTCTTCCCCTTTTAATAAAGTTTGTTTGGAAACTGATAAGTAGCTGTTGTAGTGTGTATGATATTTTGAATAATTCTGACAGGAATCGGCAGAGGTTACTACCCTATTTTCTTGTAGGGGGTGGAATGCCTATTAATCACAGAATCACTGAATTGTTCTGCTTGGAAAAGACCTTTAAGACCGTAGAGTCCAACCATTAACCTCACTTCTGAGTGCTTCAACCATGTCCCTAAGCACCACAGCTATATGTCTTTTAAGCACCTCCAGGAATGGTGATTCAACCACCTCCCTGGGCATTCTGTTTCTGTGTTTAATTACCCTTCCAGTTAAGAAGTTTTTTTTTCTAATATTTAATCTAACCTTCTAATACCTAATTTAACTGATGTTATTGGGGCTGGGCCAAAAGGAATCTTACTTGGATAAGACACTTTATTTTCATACCAAAGGGTTAACTGCGAATCTTCCTTAGGAACAAAGAACTTAAAAAATGGATTTTGGTATGGAGGACTATAAAATATACATAACCCAATTTACTAGTTGCATTTTGTCTATCATTTGATGGTTCAGCTACTAGTGAACAGAGAAACTAAATGAGGGTTAGTATTGCACACAGTTACTGCAATATATTTAGCAGGCTTTTGGAGGTTTTATTCCTTTACTGGAGTTCTTTCTTTATTGAGCATCCTGTATTGATTTACTAGGTTGTGACAACTTGACCAACAGCAGTTGCTTATTTGGTCTTCATCTAAGCATTTTTTTCTTCCCAGACTCTTTTTCCTTTACTGTCTTTCATATATTTTCTATTCAAAGTGAAAGTAACTTTAGGTTATTGTCTCTCTCCTCCTCCCACCTTCCACCTCCTTCCATCCCTGGTAGAATTCTACAGTCTATCCCAATCTTGTTTAAAAGCGAAAAATGAAATCCAAAAGTGGGTGGTGATAACATCCTCTTGCTTTCTGCAGGATTGATAAAGGGCAAGATGCAAATGAGAATGTGACTAGTGAAAATGGCCAAGAGAACAGTGGATTGGAGGATGAGCTTGATTTTGATACAAACTTCAGTAGTACAGACAGCAATGAAGATTCTGATGTGCTTGAAGAACGATTTAAAAGTATGAATTTTGAAAAGACAGAGATCTAAAAGGTTTAGTTTGTGTAAGAGACTGTGCAATCAAAAGTGGTAAACCAATGTTTGCCTTAAACTGCTCTGAAACTGCATCTGGTTTGATGTCTAAGGTCCTTGTGTATAAATGTTGACACTGTGTATTATGACACTTGTTGGGGGTTTTGTATAAAAATAATTTTTTGTATGAAGAGCAGAATTTCTTGTGAAGAGATTCTGAAATTGAATCTTAAACCATAGTTATTTCTTGCATACTGGTAACAAATGTCCTGTTTCTCTGGAATAAAGCCTTTTTGAGTAGTTGTTCTAAATTCAGTATTATATGTGTTGTATTGCCACTTGGAAAGATACATGAAAGTCTAGAGTAAATGTTGAGTCTTGTCATGAAAAGGAAGAGCTAAACCAGCTGTGACAGTTTGCTGAAGAAAGAACTTGGAACTTCTGTCAATGCGTTTCCAAACAGGTTCGAAATACCAAGTGGTCATTACCCTTATGCCTCTTGTTTCTTTTCTGTTCAAAAACGGAAGGCCTAAATGCCATCACCAGTACAGTTCATGAGCAGTGAATGCCTATTTACCTATAAGTAATGCATATATAAGTATGCATTACAAATTTGTGACCTTGTTACTACCAGTGTTTTGGAAGAAAAAAAATGAAAGACTTAAACTTTCTCAAAGCAGGTCTTAGACTTTCTATTCCTACAACTGCTTATCTAAAGTAGTTTGCTGTGATATGGAAATACGCGTAGTGTAGTGATGCTTAGGTAGTTACTCTCTCCGTGTTTTTCAGTTTTTTCTAGGGATTATTTCAATGTAGATTAACTTTACTAAATTTGCAGTAGCTCTTTTTTACGTGATTCAGGATGATTTGATTTCTTCTGTATATTCTGCTACCTCTGTATATAAAGCTGAAGAAGTACTTCATAGAAATTAAGTGGTTTAGCTTTTGTTTTTACTAACTGCACAACAGCTACACATCTGCTTTGGGGTTCTGCCTGACTTGCAGTAATGGGCATGAGAAAATTCAAGTCCCAAACTACTCTCTTCAAATTGACTGTGAGGGACTTCAGCTCTGGCATTACTCCCCACCCCCAGTCAAAGGGAGAAATACTGAAATTTTATCCTTTGCACAGCCACCCTGTGGCTGCTGTATTTGAGCTTAACTTTAAAGAAAGTCTAGTTACCAGGATGTGGAGTACTAAGACATTGAGCAGTCAATAGCCTAGAAACTGTTCTGATTTAAAGGACAATTTTATTATTATTAGTAGTAGTAGTAGTAGTATTTACTTATATATTATATATACTATATATTTACTATATAGGCAACTGCAAAATTCTTTTAATCAGTCATGGAACAGTAAGCTCTTTCTATTTTTCCTTAACTGTGTAGGTGCTTGCTACTACAAATAAGGCCTTAAGAATAAACTTTATTGTCTTTTATTTATTTAGATCTTTTTGTTTTGTATTGTACATTAAAATACCCTTTTACCTTTTCTAAACTTGTCTTAAGTTGCATCTGAGTATCTACAACATTTTTTTGTAATGATCTCTAAGGACTAGCAATCTGCTTGCTTTTTAATTTTTATCCTTTCAGTCCCATGTAAATCTTTTGCGTAGGTGGATTTTTGCTAAGTGTTTTGTGATAACCACTAGCAGTAAACAATTGAAAAACATTCTACTTATCTCTGTTCCCATGATGCATCTTTTTTGGCTTTCCACTGAGACAAAGTCTAAAGTTTGCTAACTGTTTGGGTAGTATTTGGTTTCCTTCTGGGTTTGCTTATTATGTTTGCAGTCATAAAGAACTTGGACTGGTGACCCAAACAGCCCATCTCCTTTCTCCACCCACTCTATAAACATGTTGTTTATAAGGTAAACAACTAACTTTGTGATTAAACACACTGTTTTTTTTTCACTTAACTGCAACTAATAAACCCCAAGAAATTCAGAAATGTGAAAGTTGTAGAAGGGCAGTGGTTTGTTTTGGAAGAATCACTGAAGCTATGAAGGACCAGGAGGTGCTTAGTGGCACAAAAGGAGGTTATCTCCTCCTGGTGTATTTAGAACTGACTGGAAATTAGTCTGAAGGTCACATTGTGTTGACAGATGTCTTCCCAACAAGACAGCAGTGATATCTGACTTAGCATGACGTCACCTGTTGTTCTGCCCTGCTGCCCTGTTGATAAAAACAAAGTGAACAAAGAGTATCATGAACACATTGCAGATGACAGGTTTGGGGATTTTAGGGGAGTTAATAAGTAATCTGCAATAAGGTTCAGAAAGGGTCTCTCTGAAGAGGAAACCATGAGTATCATCAAAATTGATCTCGGGTTTTGAAAGTGACTTACGTATGGAAAATGTTCTTCCCCTTGGAAAGATTGGGTAATGGCCTAGCCTTTTTTTCAAAGGTGAGAGGAAATCCTGGAATGATAGGAAAATATGTCATGGAACTGGAAGGAACTGTATAATGAGAAAATAAAGGGAAAGGCTCTCTAAGTGGTGACATGACCTGTCAGTACTGAGGAAGAGCAGTTCCACACAGATGGACAACATGTAGCAACAAAACACAAACATTAGGGAAAGTCCTCTGAAGTTAGCATCTTCATATTGCACAGCCAATGCTCTGTTAGGAGTTCAGGTGGACAGCTGATACTGCAGCAGATGATATTTTGCTGTGAGTGAGCACAGCTGCAGTGGTGGCTGACTGGTGTTAGTGCAGCTTCTCTCAAGACACCTTCTAATTCTGATTAGTGTTGTGTTCTGTCTTTGGGCCTAGCTGTGGTTAAAAGATACACTGCTGGAAAGGACCACTGCAACTAAATGTATGATGATGTGGCTGTGAATCAGCTTGCAAATTTGCTGACTTGGGAGTTTGGGCACATTTGCTATTATGGGAAAAAGAAGTTTGTTTTACTGAAGACACTCCTTAGAGGAATAAAAGGAACAATTTTAGTTTGACTGAAGTTTGGGCATATTTGGAATTACAGCAGGATACTATTTTTTAAGACTTTAAAGTAATAGTTCTGAATTTCAAGGGAGGGTTGTTGTTTTTTTTTTTGTGAAGACAGGTTTAACACAGGATTATGGAGAAACAGAACCTCTTTAAACTGATACTTAGTAGAATCATATATAGATGAGAAAATAAAAAAAGGGAAGGAGATCAAAAAACATCAAAGAGATCTCAGGTGATCTTTAGTTTAGTTGCATGTTTAGAATTTTAACTGAGGTTTTGAAAGGTTTCTACCTCTTCCATAAAGAACAATGAATTTATGTTTATGAACTTCTGAAGAGAGGAATTAATAATACCACCCTGCTTGCACGATACTGAGATGTGATTTAAATGACCGGGTGTTTCAGAAATTCAGCTGAACCTTGTGGGTCCTTACCAAATGCATTGCTGAAGAAGAGCAGGATAGATGTTAATAATTAGTCATCTGAATAATAAAGGAGACTAAGTGATGCTGCTGACAGAGTTGGATTCCTGTTAACTGACTGTCCTTAAGAGCATTACCAATATGCATTCAGTGTGACTCAACACTGACAGTAATTAATTAGATAATGGACTGTCAGCAGGCATGCAAGATGATTCTCACTTCAGAAGGGGAAATGCTTATCATAGGTTTGAGCTGTCAGAACTTGTCATTGTTCCCTTGTAGACGGTTCTGGAAAACCAAATTCCTATAAGTAAGTATGTCTTGGGACAGTCTGGATTCATTGCAGTACAGGGAGAGTCAGTATGGACAGCATGCTGCCTCCTAGCATAGCTTTTTAACTGTCGAAGTTTGCAAGCATCTCTGAGACAGCTTCTCATCCAATGTTTTGATGTATCAGGCAATACAAAAATCATTGCTGATTTACTTCTAGTTTTGCATAGGCTGGCCACTTTTGTTCTTGTCTTGACTACTGATTAATCTGTATTCCTCTAAAGTACTGAAATAATACCAGACTCTGAAAGTTTATAGGACTGCTGGTTAATTAGGGAAAGGATGGCTTGTTTTCTCCCTGTAATGGACATATACTTGGATGCAAATCATAGCATTAGCAAGGAAAATAGAGGAAAATATAGCAGGTAATCAAATGCAAGCCACCTTGTAGCCCTCTAGCCCTACAATTATTTGTGTTTTTTTTTTTGTTCAGGAGTTCTCACAAGTAAACGAATGCTAGTAGAAAATGCAAAACTAGCTTTGTTTATAAGAAACATCAAGCTGACTTAGAGAGTTAATGATGAAGGATTAAGTAGCATGGAGAGACATTCTTAATCAGATGTTTAGGGAGCTGGTCAGGCACACTGTCAGCATCTGTTTTACTTAATTCTTCTGCCTACTTTTAATCTGAAAGCTGTTAAATGAAAAAAATACATGATAAAGAAAGTATGTGCTCTGCATATTTGCTCTCATCACAAACAGTGAGTGTGTAGACTTCCTAAATCTCAATGCAGTTTATAATACCCTTAATGTGTGTAAAGTGAAGTAGATCAGTCTAGGACTGATAACTTGTTCTCAGACAAATCGACTGTAACAGACTAGAAATGTTTGCCAGATTTTAAGTAGCAGATTGTCCTGTTGTGTCCCCTAAAATAGTCACAGTGAAATCACATAGGCGTTCTCTTTTTCCCTACTGAAGTCAGTGAGGAAACAACTTTTTTTTTAATAATAGGGATAAAACTCATGTTTAGTCATCAATAAGAAACTTGACTTTGAGGATCTGAAAACAGGCTGCAGACACATCCAACAGATTTCTGAGTCTCAATTTTATCACAGCTATGCTCCTTGCACTTATCTTGCCATTTTCTAAATCCTGTGTGAGCAAGTGTGACATAATGAGTAAAAAGAATCTGTAAAGAGTATCCATAGTTTACATATTATTAGTATATATGGCACAGCAGCAAATCTTGTATCATCAGCGACAGCAAGCTACATGTGTAACAGGTTTTTTTCTGTGATTTGGGTTTGCTTTTTTTTCCTCATAGACCTTACTCTGTCTCCTATTTTGTTCCTTTTAGTGTTATTTTCTTTGTTA